TAAAACATTTTTTCTTGCTTGAAATTACCATAAAAGGAAAATTTTTAGCAAAACGGACGTGATCAGGAGAGAGTTTTATATTTTTTTTAATTCAATATTTTTAAAATTGAATTAATAATAATAAACTAATATAAAATAAAATCAATATAGTTTAATAATGTATAAAATAGTTTATATATGATAATTTCTATAATATAAAAAATACATATATAAATTAAATAATAAAATACATATAGACAATCTTACTAATTAATACAATATATATACTGTATATATATATTATATTTTGCTTAATAGTTTTGTCTTTAGATTTATAACTTAAATTAATTCAAAAAATTTAAAACTTTTATTAGAAAATATTTGAATTATATTCTACTTAATCTTAAGAATTTTTAAATTTAATAGTTGTATTAATTAAAGTTTAGAATTTTAAATATTTATTAAAAAGTATATACAGTAGTTTAATTATTTTTGAAATATAGGAAAAATTTTTTTTTTTTTTACAATTTACTCGTAATAAATAATTGTCAATCTGTTTCTTTATAGCGTATGAAACAATTTAAGTACTCCTGAAATTTATATGCTGCATTTTAATAAAATCATGCATATGCCTACTTGCAAATTAATTTATTAGTCTGATTACGATTATTATCATTATTATTTATATATTTCTTTTACTTAGAAAGTTAAAATATTAAAAAATATTATATATAACAAAATCACAACTTCAAAATTTTCACAGGAATGAAATCAATAAAATATTCTATTAATTAGATTAGATATAACTATTAAATATTATGGAAAGTATTTTAAAAATTTACTCATCTACCGTTCAAGTATATAAATTATATATCAGAACCATAAAGGTAATTCAACTCGGGATGTACAGTAAACTATAGTTGCTAAAAGAATCATTAACTACTCAATTTTAAATTACCCACCAATCTATAAATAATGACTATCTATATTTGTATATTGTAATTTTACTCAAAAGTAGTATTTACAAAGCACACTAAAACTTGACCGAGTATAAAATGTGTTCAAAAACCAGACTTTAACTAAAACTCTTCCCGTGTGTTACAATTTTAGAATCAAGTTCTATAGTGTATAGTGACATATTCTTTTGTTAATATAAAACCGTATCCCATGCCAAAAAGTTATAGATGGTTGAATGAAAGTAGAAACGAAGATGAAATAAAAAAAATTTATAATGAATGAAACTTATATATTAATAATATTTTATCAATGATACGATGTTCTATTATCCGGAAGGATTGTCACCGAGAAAGGGTTGATGTGACACTGAAATAATAAGTAATTTAACATTTATTTAATATTATCAGCAAAAATCAAAGAAGTCCACGGTACCTGGATAATATCCCGTCGTTGCATGTTGTTGCGGTGGTTGCTGCTGCGGAAACATATCACCTACATTTGTAGCCTCCTCATCCTTGTCCTTAGAATTTGCAGAAGAGCGCTCAGTTTTGGTAGTCTAATGAGTCATTTAATACATCAACATTATCAATTTAGCTTTTCACTAAGAAAGTCATATCTTAAATGAATCATACCTCTCGGTATTTTGCTAGATATATTTTCAGTGCTTCCGCATAATTTTCAAAACCCAAAGACTGCATGGCCCATAAAATGTCTTCGCCGTTGATCGTCTTCCTTTTTTCTTGTTGGCAGCGATCGCTTGCCGTAAAAAATAAACGTTAAGGGTAGTTTAAACATTTGTTGAGAACTTGTTAAATCCAAAAAACATGCAAAGAAACAGCTAGAGTTGGATCATTGAAAGGATATTCGCTCGTTATAAATGAAATGAACTCCGAAACGCATTCTTGCACACATTCCTTAGCTTCTTTTGCAATTTTGGCATTTTCTGGAAGCGCGCGTTTCATTATTCGTGCGACATTGGCTATGGGAAGAAATCGATCTTGTTCCTTAAAATCTTCAACCTCGTCATCACCGGATGGGTGAGCTTCTGACATATTCGAAATGTGGTCAACAGAAAAGTCGGGACTAAAAGAATGACGACTTAGACGTAAGACGCGGCGAGTACAAGTATGATGATGTTTTGTAAAAATAATTATGCCTTTCGCGGCGATAAGTTTTTTGCTGTTCTCGTTACACTTTGTCCTGTTACACTATTGTTTAAATATAAAAATTTGTCATTTGTCATGTGATAAATATATGTATAAATCTATGTAATATAAAATTTATTTTTAAAACATATCTTTAACATAAATTACTGGAAATTATTGTATAATAAATAATAATAATTTTAAAATTCAAATAAAGAATTTTTATTAATAACAAAAAATTTTTATAGTATCAAAAAAAATCTTAAAGATAAAAATTAATATTTAATATATATTATTTAAACTTTATTATTATTTATTATTATTATTATTTTTTTTTTTTTCTCTAATCAAATTGCTATTAGTATATTTATTAATTCAATTCTAAATAACAATAATATAATATACAATATAATACTATACTAAAGTTAAACAATCTATTATAGCAGAATACTTGTTAACAAGTTTTGAATTTGTATATAATTCTTGAATTTTTAATATCAAAACTATTATATTACTTATATAATCTAGCTATTCACTAACTATTTTATTATAAGAAAATAAGTTCATTAAGTTATTACTGTATAATACTATTATTTTAAACTTTTCAAATTCTAATTCTCTAGATATGATTGTGAGAAATAATAAAGTTATTTCTTTCTAGAGTTAGATATTAAAATCTTAGGTTCAAGAAATCAAAACCAACCTATATTTAGATTGTCACATTGATACAACCTTATTATTTTAAAAGATAAAAAAATTTTTATTTTTTAAAAAGTAAAGAAAAAATAAAAAGAAAATAAAAAAATTTGTGTCAGTAAATAAAAATTTATTTAAATCAATTATCAATCTAATAAAGTCTTCTTTGATTTTAAAGAGAAAAAAAATTGACATAAGAAAAAAAGAAGAAGACTTTAAGCTATTTTTTATTAAGAGAACACCTTAATACCTTACTCTTTCACTATTATTTAATTATATTATCAGTTATATTGAAACATAATATAATATATATAGAAGTATATATCTTGTTTACTTTTTTTTAATATATCAATTAACTAGTTCAAAATTTCAACCAATCACTAATCAAAGATTCTAATATAAAAAAAATTTAGGGTCAAACTGAAATAGGCAAAATTTCTCCAAAAAATCAAAAAAATTTGCTATATTTAAAAGTATTATCACAGATATATATAACTGATAAAGAAAGATCATATACCTGAGTAGATATGACCTACCCGGTCATAATTCAGTGGGCTAAGGCAGGGTAGGGCTAATCCATGACCTACGGTTCAACTCCAGCTGGGGGACAATTCATATATCCCAAAAAGGACTTTGTGTCACTGCCCCTGTAACTCGTGATAGAAAGCGATTTGGGTTGTTCCAGCGATCAGGGAGCCTTATGGGTAGACTACATCCTATAGGTCGAAAAGATAGATGATCTGATTGGTAAACTTTCTGATCAAGTATTGCCCGGGAAATACCTCCAAAAGGGGG